AGAAAGAAATTGAGGAGGATACAAACAAATGAAAACACACCCATACTCACAGACAGACAGAATGAATATTGTTAAAATTACTATATTACCAGAAGCAATCTACAGTTTCAATGATATTCCTATGAAAACACCAATGATATTCTTCACAGAGACAGAAAAAAAAATCCTAAAATTCATATGAAACAACAAAAAATGCCAAATCGATAAAGCAATCCTGAGCACAAGGAATAAGGCTGGAGTCAATGTATTACCTAACTTCAAATATACTACAAAGCTGTAGTAACCAAAACAGCATGGTACTGGCATAAGAACAGATATGTAGATCAATAGAACAGAATAGAGAACCCAGAAATTAATCTGCTTATGAATAGCAAACTGATTTTTACAAAGGCCAAGAACACTCATTAGGGAAATGGCAATTCATTCAAAAAATGGTGCTGAGAAAACTGGATATGCAGAAGAATTAAACTAGATTCCCATCTCTCATCCTACACAAAAATCAATTCATAATGGATCCAAGACCTCAATGTTATAAAACTACTAGAAGAAAATATAGGGGTAATACTTCAGGACACTAGTCTAGGAAAATATCCTATGAGTAAGAACTCCAAATCACAGACAACATAAAAAATAGACAAATCCGATGACATCAAACTCAAAAGCTTCTGCATAGCAAGGGAAACAATCAATAGCATGAAAAGACAACCTACAGAATACATGACAATATCTGCAAACTATTCATCTGATAGGGATTCATATCCAGATTACACAAGGAATTCCAGTATCTCAAGAGCAAAAAACTGATTTGCTTAAAAAACAGGCAAATTATCTGAACAGACATTTCTGAAAAGACATACATATAGCCAACAAATACATGAAGAAATGCTTAACATTATTAATTATCAGGGAAATGCAAATAGAACCACAGTGAGGTATCATCTCACCCCAGTTAGGATGCCTATTTTCAGAAAAACAAAAAATAATAAATGCTGGTGAGGATGCAAAAAAAAGGGAACTTTTATACACCATTGGTGGGAATGTAAACTCCTATAGCCAATATTGAAAACAGTACAAAGGTTCCCCCAAAAACACTACAATTAGAACTACCATATGGTCCAGCAATCACACTACTGAGAATTTATATAAAGGAAAGGAAATCGTTAGATCAGAGAGACATCTGCACCCTGTATTTATTGTTGTACTATTCACAATAGCCATGATATGGATCAACCTAGTTGTCCAACAACAGATGAATGGATAAAGAATATGTGTATACACACACAATGGAATACTGTTCAGCCATTAAAAAAAGAAATGAAATCCTGTCATTCACAGCAACATGGATGGAACTGGAAGAAGTTATATTAAATGAAATAAGACAGGAAAAGAAAGTTAAATACCATGCGTTTTCATTCATCTATGGAAGCCAGGGAAAGTAAATACTATAGAAGTCAAAAGTAGAAGAGAAGATAGGGTAGGAAGGGTAGGAGGAAAGGAGGGATAGGGGAGAGATTCAATCACGAATACAAAATTACAGCAAGATAGGAGGAGTAAGTTACAGTGTTGTACTATCATTGTTCTGTAACTATAGGATGACTATAATTAACAATAATATTGTCCAATAGCTAGAAGGATACTGGATGTTCTCCACACAAATAAATCATTAATGTTTGAGATGACTGATATGCTAATTACTCTGATTTGATCACTATACATTCTATGTATCAAAACATCACTATATATCCCATCAAAGTGTATGATCAATTTAAAAATAAACTATAAAAACGTTAATTACTATTTAAAATGACTATTTTATGAAATAAATGTTTTGAGCTATTTAAGTCAGACTTAGACAAGAAGGAAAGATTCTTAGAAAACTGAAATGCAATATCAGATTAGAAGAAGCAAAAGACAGCACTGGCAGTAAAGAAAATCACATTGGCCATATGACAGAATGCTGAGAGGGGGGAAAAAAACATGAAAAAGATGGTAGACACAGAAAAATGAAAACAAAGATTTAAGAACTGAATATTCTAATATTGGATATTCATTTTTTTCTAATCCTAAGAAAAAATGAAAGAGAATATTCAAAAATAAAAAAATATTATTCTTTAGTGAACAATACCCTCTAAATTTATACTAAAACAGTATGCAGAATATTAGTGAATTTTATGATCAACTGTTAGACATAGTCAATGAATAACTAATGCAATAAGAGAAGAAAAGGACTAAAAGGTATGGAGATAGAGAAGGAATAATTAAAACTGTCTTTGCTGACAGATAACATAACTGTCTGAGTAAAAAATCTCAAAGAATTGACAAAAAAGCTAATGGAATTGAGAAGCGATTATAGCAAGGTTGCAGAAAACAAGGTAATATACAAAAGCCAACTGTTTAGCTATCTACCAGCAATGAAGACTTAGAAAAGGAAATTAAAAACACAGCACTCTTCACACTAGCACCAAAAAAAATGAAAAATTAGGTATAAATCTAACAAAACATGTATAATATCTTTATTAAGAAAACTACAAAAACTGACAAAATTCCTAAATACATAGATACTCCATGAATGGGAAGACTTTCCTAAAGTGATGTATAAAGTCAACACAAAATCCCAGCAATTCAATACAAAGATTCCCAGAATTTTGTGGGTATGTACAAAGTGATTCTAAAGTTAATATGAAAAGGCAAAGTATGCAGACAGCCAACATAATACTGCAGAAGAACAAGGTCAGACAACTGACAGTACTTACCTTAAAGACTCACTAAAAGTCTACAGTAATCAAAACAATGTGATATTGGCAAAAGAACAGACAAAGCAAGGGAACAGAAAGAGAACCTAAAAATATACCCACATAAACATAGTCAGCTGATCTTTGACAAAGAAGCAAAGGCAATTCAATGGATAAAAGACAGTCTTTCTCCAATTCGGCATTGATTTCCAAAAAAAATAATAATAATAATCTAAACACAGACCTTACACCTTTCACAAAAATTAACTCAAAATGAATCACAGACCTAGATATAAAATGCACAACTATAAAGCTTGTAGAAGATACATAGGAAAAAATCTAGATGACCTTCAGTTTGGTGATGAAGCTTCAGACATAACACCAAAATCGTAACTCATGATAGAAAAAACTGACAGATTACTAAGATCAAAGACTTCAGTTGGGCACAGTGGCTCCTGTCTGTAATCCCAGCACTTTGGAAAGCTGAGGCAGGATTGCTTGAGCTCAGGAATTCAGGACCAGTCTGGGAAACATAGGGAGAGCTTGTCTCTAAACAAAATTAAAAAACACATCAGGTGTGATGGTGCATGCTTGTAGCCCCAGGTACTCAGGAGGCTGAGGTAGCAGTCCTCTTGAGCCCAAGAGGCCGAGGCTACAGTGAGCTGTGAGCATGCCACTGCACTATCTTCTAAGTAAGTAAGTAAAACAAATAAATAAAAACTACTCTACCAAACATACTGTTAAAAGTATGTTTGACATAGCAAATAGTATGTTTTGTATGTATACATAGCAAAATAGTATGTTTGACAAGCAATAGTATGCTTGACTTTGACATAGCAATAGTATGAAAGACATAGCAAGATCCTGTCTCAAAAATAAAAATAAAAATAAAATCTTCTGCTCTGCCAAAGACAGTTAATATTAATAGTATGAAAAGAAAAGCCACAAACTGTAAGAAAATACTTGCAAAACAAAACTGAAAATCAGAAATATAAAGGACTCTTAAAACCTATCAATAAGAAAACAACCCAAATTAAAAATGGACATAAGACACCTCACCAAACATATACAGATGAAAAAGAAGTGTATGAAAAGATGCTCAACAGCATGTCATTAGAGAATTACAAGTACAATGAGACACCAATCTACACCTATTAGAATGGTTAAAAAGTTTCTTAAATTTAAAAATTTGAAATTTAAAAACATTTCACATAGTTCTCTTGTGAAAACCACCCAAAATAATAGTGAATTCAAATGCAAAGAAAAACCATAATAAAAAACTCAAGAATAAAGAAATAGTGATTTATAGAAGCTGAGTATGAGGACTAAAACAAATTAAACATAGATTTGAAACCTAAAATTTACTGTAAATATGATTATAAATGTGAAAATTTGTGAACTATTAAAAGAAATTACCTAGATCTAAATTCTCAATTTACATACTTTAAACAATACTTGAGATGAGTGATAACAGTAAAATCCTAACATATTCATCATAATAAATTTCAATATACATTGCTTAAAATGTTAAAAAAATTTTACTTATCCATTTTTTAAAGTACATTAGTAAAAAATTTAAATTTATTGTATCTAATACATGAGAACAGATTTTACACAGAGTACTTAGCATTGAAATTAATTACTTTCAAAAGTTAACACCCATAATTTGTCTCCTATATTGCATAAAGGATATGAAAGAAAAGAGCAAGGGGAAATAAGTAAGAATATCTTTTTGAGGTAACTAAGTAACTACAATAAAGAGGAAAAGGAGACAAGAATGATATAAGATGTGAACATGCATCTTATGTAAAACTACGTAAATTAGGGTTAAACAATAAATAGTCATAATGTAGGAAAAATAAAAAGAATGCATGATATGATAGTTCTCTAACCTATAACAAAGGGAAAAACCCTACCTTGCAGCATTGATGTAAAGAATAAATGAGAGAACATAATAAAAAGACACATAGTACATGCTCAATAAATGCCATTTTCTTTTTCCACTGGAAATCTCTACTTCTTCAAGGACAAAAGACCATGTTGGAACAAACATCAATTGACAATTTGTCACTAGGAGGACAAATAAGGGGAAAAAAGGTCTGCTATACTCAAATATACCACCCTAACTTTATAAAGTTTTACATGTCTTCTATGATTAAAAAAAAAAAAGTAAAATGTTACAAAATAATGAAATGAAAAATATTTTCAGTATTATATAAAATAAGAATCATCATACGCCAACAAACACCAGAAATGAACAGCTTTTACCATAGTTTTTCCTGATCCTCGGGGTCCGATAATGAGGACAGAGTTACTCTCTCCATGGAGAGCGGTCCTTTTTAGCAGCTCACTTAAGTGTCTAAAATGATATAAATAGGACAAAATTTTAAAAATGAAGCTGGAATACTTTGTTAGATTGTAGTTTTTTAAAAGGCATATTTGAATATGCATAGAAATTTCCTCTTTTCTCTCCCTCTGGGCACTTGGCCTAGCCTCTGAATGGTCCTAAACAGAAAAATACAAAAGAAATAGGAGGGTAGTATAGACTCTGAAATCTTTAGGTGAAAATGTATCAGATTGGAATATATTGATTTGTATGATCGTGGGGACAACAGTGGCAACTCTCAGGACTCTTGGATTCAAATCTCTTTTCCTACTATACTCTGAACTTTCACTCCATAGTTGGCTGCTGGGTATTAAGGGCAAGATGGTTAGAATTCTCTCCACAGTATTAGATAACATAAACAAAACAAGATTGAATGTTAAAGTGCTATTGCATTATGGAAATATTTGTATCTGCTCCTGCTTCACGCTATGTGGTGTTTCTATTCACAAAGCAACATTTTTTACTTCTATAAAAGTGTTTGTTAGGTTTATTTAATATCAAACTTGTTACATAATTTTTGCAAGACCTGGAAGGCATCTGTAAGTTGGTCCGTAACAGTCAAAAGGACAGCTAGACTTACTTGTATTGTACTTGCACTCCAAATAGGTTACTATGTGGACTCTGATGACAAAATCTTTCACGTAAAATTCTTTGTACCTGATGAAAATAAAGTGAATAAATATAAAAATATTACACATGCAATAAAAAATGAGTAAGAAAGCACATTTACAATAGCCAGAATTAGTTATTAATGAATCAATTCAACCCTCCCTAAATTCTTATCCTCTAGAGTTATGGCACCATAAGTTAAAAAATTAATGGTGTTCTTATCTATCTCAAGTCCCACAGGAAGAATGAGAATTTAGTTGTGAAGGTTTCAAAAAAGGGAGAATCACTGACTTTAGTTATGTTAGCAACTCAAGGGCTGTTTCAATGCATGTGAACGAGTTCAGAAAAAAATTCTTATAAGGAGCTGTATTTTGAGTTCACCTTAGAAAAAGGGCCTTAGACTTAGTCATGAAAAATTATGTCAGATAATCTACCATGCTCTTTAAAAAGATGGACCATTAAAGTCATTCCTTTTTGGATCTGCAGCTAATACAGAGGTCTTTCAAGGACAACCTTAGGGTGCTATCTCAGATTTGGCCCCATGAACTGGAATAAAAAACCTCCAAAAACATTTGCTTCTCCTAGACTGACGGCATGGAACTAATCCTTCATGTATCAAAGAAATAAATCTGAGTTCTTGTTCTATGTACAGAGGCTAAGCAAAGAAAATGATTCACTAGGGACAAAATGATACATACTTGTTCATTATAGAGGAAGTTAAAGAGTAAGGACACTGGCACCAGAAGAGGCTACTATATGAATTTTAAAAGGGTAAGTCTGTTCTAGATTTTAATTTCTTTATCTATAATATAGGGACAATAACACCTTGTTGCAGGCCTGTTTTAAAGATTAAAAAAGTGGGGTGGCCGCGGTGGCTCACATCTGTAAATCCCAACACTTTGGGAGGTCGAGATGGGTGGATCGCTTGAGGTTAGGAGTTCAAGACCAGCCTGGCCAACATGGTTGAAATACCTTCTCTACTAAATATTCAAAAATTAGCCAGACGTGGCAGATGCCTGTAATACCAGCTACTTGGGAGGCTGAGGCAGGAGAATTGCTTGCACTCAGGAGGCAGAGGTTGCAGTAAGCTGAGATTGTACCACTGCACTCCAGCTAGGGTAACAGAGCAAGACTTGGTCTCAAAAAAAAAAAAAAAAATATTTAAAAAGGCAAAAGGCAATTATCTGTAACACAAATAGGCTTTGTACAGGTAATAGCTAATATCTATAAAAATACATAAAAGAACATATATATGTACTCAACTAGTCATAATGTGTATTCCTCTACCTAGATGAGATCAAAAGAAAAAACTCAATCCCTTCCTTAAAAACAAAACAAAACAAAACAAAACAAAAAACCAAAACTTCATTAAAATCTCTTAGAGGCAGTAATGGGGTGTAAAACATAAGCTAGATAAAGCTGCAGTGACTAGTTAGAAGGTTCACAAATCCCAAAGTGATCTGGCATGGAAGTTAAACAGGTATATACATGTATTGAAATTAATTCAGCTGTACATGGAGGATTCGTGCACTTTACATACAAAGGTATGTAAAGCATATTTCAGTTAAATTTTTTTTTTTTAGAAATAGAGTTAAACAACTTCCTTCAAAAAGAAAGCCTAATCTTATGAAGGAATACCAGTAACATTTAATTTTTATTTAAAAACTACACGTAGTTCAGGTCAAGCTAGATACATACAAACGTAGAAATACCATGCTCATTTCCCTACTAGACTATAAGCTTCTTAAGGAAGAGATATACAGATAGATGTTCAGCACTTGGAATACAGTATGCACTTCTGATAACGTTCATTATAAAAACACTCGATAGACGAGGAACATTAATGGAACTTCCTCAACTTAATAAAGGGCATCTAAAAAAAAAATCCTACAGCTAACATCATATATAATAGTGAAAGACTGAATGCTGTCTCTCTAAGATGAAAACAAAGACAAGAATGTCCATTATTCCCATTCCTATTCAGCATTTGTTCAAGCCAGGGCAATTAAGCAAGAAAAGGGGAGGAAAAAAGGTATCTAGATTAGAAAGAAAAAAGTAAAAGCTAGAATTCTGACTACCCGGACTTAATAAGGATAAAATTAAATTATAGTATAAAACACTAATATTAAAAAAATATATGAACTGACAAAAAGGATAGAGAACAATCATAACAACAAGAAAATCTGTTGGTCCACATTTAATTTTTACAGAGTCTGGAAAATTTTGCTTCCAGATGATTGTTCTTACGACCTTGTACTGATATCTCAAGGTCTTGTACTGACATCTCCTTAAGGTTAGAAAGAGTGATTCCTCTTATACGCTAAAGTGAAAATTCAAGTTAAGAAGATAACTATTTCTCTCAACACTTTTATAGGGTAAAAGGTCTTGAGGTTAATGAAAATACATACTAACCTGTGAAAGGCACTCTGCGTGAATTAAGCTGTTACTCTTTGATTTACGACTGCTCATTTCAACAAATTCAAATCCTTAAAAAAATTGGCATAAATATTATAAACATAGTGACTTGAAGAGATAATACCTAAGAATTTACTGTTCTAGAATTAAATACAAGTTTTTAAAAGTAAAAAATGCTCAAACCCTAAGACCTTCAAAATCTTCGATGGCTTCATTTTGTCCAAGTACAGGATTATTCAACACTCTCATACCATACTTTAGGTACACTTGGTTTTATTGTGCTTTGCAGACAGTGCATTTTTTTAAGTAAATTGAAGGTTTATAGCAACTCTGTGTCCAACAAGTCGATAGGTACCATTTTTCAAACACCATGTCCCCATTTTGTGTCTGTCAGCATTTTTCAGCAATAAGGTATTTTAAAATTAAGGTATGTACATTTTTTAGACATAATACTACTGCACACTTAATGGACTAGTATACTGTAAATATACATTTTATATGTACTGAGAAAAGTTTTGGGTGATTTACTTTATTGTGATATTTGCTTCACCGCAATGGTCTGGAACTGAACCTGTAATAATACCTCCAGGCCTGTATGTGGTTCTTAACAGCTACTCCTCTGTTTCCATTAAATCTTCTAGTCACCTTCCCTTTCTTCCTTTTTCTTTAACTTATATGCTTCCTTTATGATTCTCCCACCCATCCATCCCACAGGATCATCCCTCATAGAAAACCTTCCTTTCTTGCTCCACTCACCAACCATACACAAATAATCATTACAGACTAGGTTAAATGCCTCTTCTTTAATTACTTATAAGTGCCTGTATTTCTCTTTATTATTTAATTATTTTGAACAAAATTATCTGTTTATTTGCTAGTGTTTCCAAATTGAGATTTTTTATATTCCAAGCATTGTAGCACAATGCTCAAAACAAAGTTGGCAATGAATAAATGGAATGAAAAAAAATTAATGAAAAATGTATAATTCTTGTAAAATTCTCCTCAAGTTACCATACTCATAGACAAATACCTTTGACTAAAAGACCTAATTTTCTTAGCACTGATTTCCTATAGGACTACTTTAACAGTTAGACAGTAACAGCTTAAGCAGTGTTTACTTAGGTATCAGGAATTGTTACAAATAATTTGCATTTATCAACTCATTTAATCCTCAAAACTACCCTATGGGATAACTACTATTATAATCCTCTTTCAAGGTTAGAAGACACAGATAGGCTAACTATGTGGACCAAAATCAAACAGTACATAAATGGAAGAGCCAGGATTTGGATCCAACCAAGTTAACCGCTTTTTTAAAAAAGTGTATTCTGGTCTCATCTAGTCTCCAGCAGGAACACAGCTTTGCTGACACCCTGAATTTTGCCCAGTGAAAGACATTTTGGAACTTTTTTACTGCCAGAACTCATAAAACTCAAGAAAAGCTGACCTATCATCAAATCACCAATGATTAACATTATAATAATGTGAGAATGACGGCAGCAAGATGAAATAGGAGGCCCTTCAGCTTGTGTTCCCAAATAGCAACAATAATTTCACAGCCACCCACGGACGAAAGTGTCTTTGTGTTAGCCTTGAGATGCAGGCAGGCGTCTGTGAAACCCCAGTGGGGACCAAGACCTGGGAAAGTCAATTTGAGGGCAGATCTTCATTCACGTGACGGATTCCCCAACTGTGGTCCAGGCTTCAGACTTGGAAAGGGCCCTGTCCTCCTGAGGGCTTAGCTAAAGCCTGATAGGACCTTGTTACCAGGGGCTGTAGCAGGATATGAAACCTATCTGGTGGTGGACTGGACTTTTTCTAGGACATTGGTCTGTACAGGGGATGAAGATATGCAGAGAAAAGACCTGTTACCAGGTGTGTGGATGGTGTGGCTTTCTCTGGGAACCTGGGAGGGCTCCTACTGGATCACTGAGTGGATAACCTGAGCAGGCACTACTGCCATAGTCCCCAGCTGCGTGGGGCTGGAACTAAGTCACAGGGTTGCTTCAGGGCCTACAGTCAAGACTTAGGTCTTCAGGCCTGTCTAAGGTGTCATGAACCTGCATGCCTCCCTTCAGGTCCTTAGGTTGGTGGGCCTGCTCTCAAGCTGTACTGAGAGGGGCTGGAGCCACTTTTAAGGGGTGTTTCAGGGACTGATGAGGGACCTGGGTCAGGTGGCCTGTTGGCAGGGCTATGGACAGTCCCATCTCCCTCCAGGATGCTGGGTAGGCAGAACCGCTTTCTGACCATAGCTGAGTGGGGCTTATGCCAAGATTCAGGGTTGTTTCAGGACCTGCTGTGGGACTGAAATCTGCCTGCCTGTCCTGAGGACATGGAAGGATGTATCTCCTGACTACAAGAGAATTTCTGTGCAGGATTTCTGTAAGACTGTGGCTAAGATGTGCTGGATTCCCAATTCAGAGCTTTTTCAGCATATGCTACGGGACAGAGACTGGTAAGTCTGTACTGATAGCACAGACAGGTGAGTCTCCTAGCAGTTCCTTGTGCAGGCAGGGTTGCTCTCAGGCTGCAAACAAGAGTAGCAGGAGCTGAGCTTCAGGGCTGTTTCAGGATATAATGTAGGACCAAGTTCAGAAAGCTTGACCCAGGGATTCAGACCGTTTTGTCTTCTTGTGGGTCCTTGAACTGATCTCAGACCACAGACAAGTTAAAGTGTCTTATCAGGGTCCACAGTTGAGACTGAGGACAGTGGACTTATTTTCTGAGGTACCAGTGTGCATGACCTTTCCTGGGCCTCTTGGTGAATAGTTTCGGTAGCAGGCTAATATCCTTGATGAATATAGGTACAAAAATCCTCAACAAATACTGGCAAATCTAACTCAACAGCACATTAGATCAATTACCATGATCAAGTGGTATTTACCTTTGGGATGCAAAGATGGTTCAACATATGTAAATCTATAAAGTGTGCTATAATGTATTAACAGAATGAAGGACAAAAATCATATGACTGACTCAACAGATAAAAAAAAAGCTTCTAACATAACTCAATATTCCTTCAGGATGAAAACTCTCAATACATTAGGTATAAAAGGAATATACTTCAACACAATAAAGGCCATATATAACAAACTCACAGCTAACATTGCACCCAAAGGTAAAAAGTTGGAAGCTTTTCCTCTAAGATCAAGAACAGGACAAGAATGCCCACCTTGGCTATTTATATTGAATACAGTTCTGCAAATCCTAGCCAAAGGAATTAGATAAGAAAATTAAATAAAAGGCATCCAAGTCAAAAAAGAGAAAGTTAAATGATCTGTTTGCAGATGACATGATTTTATATAGAGAAAACCCTTAAGACTCTACCAAAAAACTGTTAGTACTAATACATACAGTAAAGTGGCAGGATACAAAATCAACATACAAAAATCAATAAGATTTCTCCACACTAATAACTATTTGAAAAAATTAAAAACCAGTCCTAATTACAATAGCATCAAAAACAAATTAGAAAGAAATGTAACAAAAGAGGTGAAAGGTCTGTCACTGAAAACTATACAATATTGATGAAAGAAAGTGAAGACACAAATAAATGGAAAGACACTCCATGCTCACGGATTGAAAGAATCAATGTTATTAAAATGTCCCTACTACTGGAAGTGAAGGTCAAAGTAATCTACATCAAAATTCTAATGACATTTTTCAAAGAAATAGAAAAAAACCTTAAAATTCATATGGACCCACAAAGACATTTAATAGCTAAGACAATCATGAGCAAAAGAACAACGCTGGAGGTATCAGACTACCTGATTTCAATACCTAGTGCAAAATAAAGATAATTCAAAACAACATGGCTCTGGCATAAAAACAAACATACACACCACCAGAATAGAGAGTCAAGAAATAAATCCATACTTTTATAGTCGACTTATGTTCAACAAAAGTGCCAAGAACACACCATGGAGAAAGGACAGTCTCTTCAAGAAATGGTGTTAGGAAAACTGGATATCCACAGGCAGAATAATGAAATTGAACCCTCATCTCACATCATATACAAAAATCAACTAAAAACGGATTAAAGACAAATGTAAGACCTGAAACACAGGGAAATAAAACACAGGGGAAAAGCTTTTTGACACTGGACTTGGCAAAGATTTTTTTGGATATGACTCCAAAAGCACAAGCAAGAATAATGAAAACAGACATAAAACTAAAAAGCTCCTACAAAGCAATCAATCAACAGAATGAAGAGACAACCTACAGAATAGGTGAAAGTATTCGCAAATGTTACATCTGACAACAAGTTAAAATCCAAAATATGTAGTCGGTCCTCATCAGCAGATTCAACCAACTTAAGAGAGAGAAAATTTAGAGGGGGAAAAAATGCAACAATAAAAATTAATACAAATTTAAAAAACAATACATTATAATGACTATTTACAAAGCACTTACATTGTATTAGAAGTTATAAGTAATCTAGAGATGATTTAAAGCATATGGGATGGTATGTGTAGGTTATATGTAAATATCATGTCAATTTATAGAAGAAACTTGAGCATCTACAGATTTTGGTATCTGAAGGGGGTCCTGGAACCAGTTTCCTGTGGATACAGAGGGATGACTGTATAAGGAACTAAGAAAAAATAGCAAGGAAACAACCCAATTTAAAAAATAGTCAAAAAGATTTCTCACAGGACATAAAAATGTCAAATAGGTATTTGAGAAAATTCTCAGTGTTACTAATTTTCAGGGAAGTACAAACAAAACCACAATGAGATAACATTTCACACTTGCTAGGAAGGCTATTTGTTAAAAAAAGATAAAAGATGATGAGTGTTGTTAAGGCTTATGAAAAAAAAGGAAACCCTGAAACACTGTTGATAAAAATGTAAATTAGTATAATCATTATGGAAAACAGTATGGAGGTTCTTGAAAAAATTAAAAGCCAAATTATATAATCCAGTAATCCCACTGAATATCCATCCATATATACAAAGGAAATGATCAATACATCAAAGATATATCCTCACTCCCATATATACTGCAGCATTATTCACAGCCAAAATACGGAATCAACCTAAGTGTCCATCAATGGATGAAAAGATAAAGA